CCCCAAAACCCCAAAACCCCAAAACCCCAAAACCCCTCTCCAATCTCCGCAAATTGAGATTAAATTTATTTCTAAAAATAAAAAGAGTGCTTAGCTAGAAGCATATGAAAATTAGAGGAGACAACTCCTCCTAAGCTTCTATGGGTTTGGAGCCGAAGGCTCCAGAATTGATTCGCTTTCAGCACTTGAGAGCTCTTGATTTCTGATTTTTAGAGGAGCATCATAGTTCTTTATCTTCTTCCTGCTCATAATTCTTGGAGCGGGTTTGACTTTAACATCACTCGTTTTGCAAACATTCCTAGATTCAACAAATTTGTCCAGAATGGATAAATCTCTCTTCTCTCGGAATTTTTTTAGCAAAGAAACATAGTCAATCTTTGTTCTTGGTTTTGTATTGGAGGAATTTTCATTCAAAGCACCTTCACATGTGTTTTCCTCATCACTGGAGACCTCGAGCCAGGTTTCCCTCCTCCTAGACCCTTTCTCTTCTGAATACCTTGCCTTTGGAGTTAAGATCTGTCCCATACTTATCCTTGCTTTGATTGAATCTCTTGCTTGATGGTTGCTCTCTTTCGTTTTCAAAGTCTGCAAAATCATACTATTTAAAGAATTTTGGGTCTTATTTGGTAAAACATTATGACTGTTAGAGGTAAGCATACTAAATTGGGCTTGCAGCTCAGTTTGGCCTCCAAATAACGAGAAAGGAGGAACAACATTTCTCTTACTTTCTTTGTTTAGCAATGAGCTTAGCCTGTTCAAGGGCTGAGGAGCTGGAGAAATTTTTGTGATCAATTCACTGAACTTTGGAGATCTGAGACTACTCAAAAGTAATTTTGACATGTTCTCAAGAAAATTAGGTGGGGAATTATTCTTTGAATCCTTCTTTTCGGGCTTAAAACTGATCTGCTTGGTACCTTTTATTTCCCGATGAGGGTTTTTGCAACCAATACAACAACAATTTTGGGTGCAGGAGAGGCCAGCCTGAGAACATTTGCAATATTTCATACACAAGGCTTTCATTCAGTTACATCCTTTTGTGGGTGTTTGAGCTTGTGAATTAGTCCTTAGGTGGTTACACTTGAAGAAATCTGAGGTCCTTCAATGTGCTTCATTAACAACTTTTGTGATCTCATTTTTAAGCTCTTCCAAGTTCATTAAATGATTGTAGCTCATAGAGTCATGCATTAGGTTGATCAGATTTGGAGCTTTATGAGCAATATTTGATTGATGAAGATACAAGTTCAGACACGAATTGCAAAGAGGATATCCAACAATTCTTTCCCATACTTTTTCAAAGCCACAAGTAGCATTTTTAAGTCTCTTAGCTGTTTCAGCGATATTTATATTAAGAGAGCCCTGTTTGGAACTCATTATTAAAAATTTAATTTAGGTTTTGAGAATTTTCAAAAAATTTAAGCAAAAAAGGGGTTTTGGGGTTTTGGGGTTTTGGGGTTTTGGGG